CGCGATTTATGGAAGATTCAAAACGTTCGCGAATAAAATGTTTTGTTTCATCGAAAATATAGTAGCGAAGGCCTAAATGTGAAAGCATGAACTAAATTGAGTTTAAAAATCCTTTTAAGTTCAATCGTTTTAAAATTTCTCTCTATGCTTTTTTATTTCAGTTCAACCCAAATCGATTGCATATTGTTTGAAGCATAGATAGTTGATAGATTAATTAGTTTAAAATCATGGTATCGCAACAATCGAGAGATTTTGTGCCTATAAAAGTAGCATCATGTCAAAAATATGTTCATTGTGCATCAGATATTCAACAGGAAAAGTCGAAAGAAAAAGTGAAAAAGGTAAACAGTAAGAGAAGTTGACATTTGTGATAACTTGAAGCAAGAAATTCATAAGCAATGCTCAAAAATATTCCTTTATTAAGGTGAGTTCATTCTTCACAGAATTTGTGAAATAATACAAAGAGAAAAGAGTCTGAAAATCAGTCAACGTTTACAATAAGTTTAAGATTACCATTAAAAGTGTTGTAAAGTGAATTCTTTGAAAAAAGTGAATAAACTTTACTGCAGTGCATTAATTCAGTTTGATTTGAATTATCACGTAGAACTTCAACTATCATCGGATGTCTTGAAGTTGATAAGCCAGTGCAATATGCTAGATTTGAATGCTCATGTCCTGAATTATCAATTATGAGCCTTCCGATATTCATCACGGAATTTACATGAAAAAACATTCTGATCGAAGGCTCAGTGAAAATAACAATTATAATAATATTAGAAAAAAAATCAATTTCTATTGAAATAAGACAACAACTAAACGCAAACATTTTGTTGATTTGAGTTTATGAAGACATAATTCAAGTGTGATTCAGCAGAATAAGCTTTTTATTTTTTCGTGACTTTTTAAGCAGATGGAATATTAAAAAATGTTTGCGGATGTCTTAAAATTAATAACCCAGTGTAATTTGCTAGATATGAATGCTAATTCTTCACTGCACTCTCATTTGCTTCAATCGTCATTCGATCTTTAAAATTCAGCGAATTTTCTTGATTCAGTTCGCCATTCTTTTAGGCTTGAGCCTTAATTGGAAGTGCACGTCTTCTCTTGATTTCATCCCTAAAATTAGTCGCATAATGAGAAATTAACAACCAAGTTCTTTTAACTTGAGCTTCACTGCAATATTCGCGACTGACGATAAATCTAAGACACATTTTCTTCTTGCAGATTGTTGGCAAAAGATGAATTTTCTTTGTGTCATTTAAATTAATTTACAATTTGTACGAAGCTTTAAAAAACAAGAAAATGTATTTTATTGAGAATATTAATTTAAATGAGTTAGAACTGGAACAAGTCATCAACTTTCTAAAAGAAATTAAAATTTACGAATCTTTTTTCAAGCAAAACATCACATAGGTAATTCTGTAAAGTTTTTCATCATTGATGAATACAAAATATTTTTGTAT